GGCACAGCCTCTGTCCTCCCCTGCCTTGCTGTAGCACTCCTCACTAACGCCCTCCTCTATAGCTTAGGATTTAACTAGAGAAAACTGTAGCCACTCTTGCTCACTTATGAACTCCAAGCCTCAGCACTAAAGGCCCCACAATAGACAGGTTGGTGTTCATTTAAATCAAGAGTTCTGCCTTGACCCACCTTCACCAGGAAAGACAATCTTAGATTTAGCACTTATATCATCCAGGTCATATTAAATCAGTGACATATACCTTATGCTCTTAATAAGATAGCATGGACTTGGACAAGTCTCTTGTTGCTTCTGAATTGTGGTCTTCCTAAGTGCAAGTAGGCAATACCAGTCCCACTTACTCATAAAATGGTATGATGCATATAAAAGCCATCCAACACAGAGTGTACTAATGCACATAAATAAGCAAAATCAACTACCATATCATACTTCTTTTTATTTCTGATGGGAGAAAAGAGCTATATAGTGGAAGGAGTAAAGAGGTAAGTGTGTCCTAGATCCAAACTTTGAGACTGGAAGGGCCATTCTAGGCTGTCTAGGACATTCTAGGCCCATGTCAGCTGGAGAAGGATTTGTCTCTTCTGGTCCAGTGTGCTGCTTGCCTCAATTTACTAGTCCCCAGTGTGACACACGTAACTGTTCCGAGTGGACCCTGTCCTATCCACCAGGAATGGAGCATTACTCATTTGTTCTGAAAATTCCAACAACAGATCTTTGCAATCATTACTCAGGAAAAAAGGCTAAAGAAAACTGAAGGCTCCTTGATTGCTCTTCACTGGGTGAGTTATAAACCGAAGAGTTGGGCCTGTCCAATTCTTGACTCTTGAACTGCAATTTCCAACTCATCAAAATTCAATGGCGAGGAGTTTAGAATCATAGAATCTTAGAGCTGATAGATGTTAGAAATCACAACATTCAATAGATTATAAGACCAAAATACAAACCTACTGATGGCTAAACAGTTCCTTATGGATGATCTGGGACAAGAATCTAGCCCTCAACTCCCAGGTCAGGGCTCATTCTACTAGAAGCCCTCATACTAATACTGCCAACATTAGGCCAAGCACTAAGTATCTGCACTAAGACTACTCATGTACTGCTCTTATTGAGATCACTAGCACTAATACTGAGGTCTGTATAAACTCACCACCCATCATAACCATATATACAAATTTTAAAGTGATGATTTTTTTAATTTAAGTTTATTGGTACAATTTAGGTATACTTAATCACCACATTCATTATAGTGAATCTGTGGTGATGAATATATTGAACAACTTCTTTTTTAATCCAGAGAGGAGCATCCCAGCTGGGAGATGAGGGGCTGGGGGTTGGCTGTGGTAAAAACAAGGAAAGATGTTCTGGTATGAACAAGGTGGTTTTTGTGGAGGGTACAAGAGAAGGGAGAGAAATGGGAAGGCACACAGGCTGGAAAGGAGATAATGAATGTGGAAGTGTCAGCAGTCTCTTAAAGTGACTCCTCCTTCTCCAGAGTGAATGACACTCCATCTTTCTCTACCTGAGCCTATTCTCACACAGTCCCCATGCAGCCACCTGAACACAAGCCTGTCCATGTAACAGCCACTTCTCTATACCTACTCTTCCCTGCATGCTGGGTTAACACCCCAAAATACTTAGTGCAGATCTTTATTATTATTACTTTTTGGTACTGCTCCATAACTATGTGTCCATAATTCCCTAACTGGTATCTCCACCACAGGCTGGCTCCCAAGAGCCAATGGCGGTGTCTCACCTATCTTAACCTTGCCACAACAGCCAGGACATGGCAGTAACCCACTGACTGACAATGCATGAAGAGTCCTAACTCAGCCTCCCTGCTAAGAATGGGTTTCAGAGCTGCTTTGGGTTACACGTGCCTCTGCCAAGCTCTGTAGCTCTGATGTGGTGGTCATCATGGGACCATCAGGAACCAAGCCAAAATTACCTGAACAGGTGCTTGAGTCCCTAACCAAATAGATCACTTTCTAAGGGCAAGGACCATTCTGTCTTCAGTGCCTGATGCTTAGAAATCACAGGAATATAATGCACACTTTCAGAATGGATAGATAAATAAGATAGTAAGATCAAAGGAATGCCCAAAGAAATGCTGAGCAAGCAAGCAATTTTTAATCACAGAAATACCCAAAGACTCTCCTTGAAAACACATCTGAGCAGGTTCCAGGAGACTGACAGGGCTCCAGCATCTCCCACAGCCTCTGCCACCCGGAAAAGATAAAACATCACTCACACTCAGGAACAAAGACACAGCGAACCCTCCAGACTTATGGCTACATGGCACCTGTTGCTGAAACAGCAGCTGATAAGCATTTTGTTCTGTTCAAAACAACAACAACAACAAAACCAGTCTATTGCAGGAAGCAGCATCACAATGACAAGAAGAAATCATGAGGCTAAATATATACTGGGAAGAGAAGTACAGAATTTTAGCAATGAAAGACAAGGAAGGAGCTGCTAGAGCCTGAGGAAAAAAAAAACTGGTGTTGATTAGAAATTGCTCAGCCTGCATTGAAAGGGAAGCAAAGAGAGGGGGCGGGAGGGGGAAAGAGAGGGAGAGTTAACTGGGAGATAGGGAGGGAGAAAGAAAGGGAGAAAAGGGAGGGAGAGAATGAACGTGGCTTTTTTTTTTTTTTTTTTTTGGTTGTCTCATTTTAAATCTGTCTTTTCCTTTCTCCCTCCCATTCTACCACCCCCTCAAAAGAATTCATTGATTGTGCTAGACTAAAATTTCTTACCTTTCCTTGCATGGTTTCTCCGTGAAGAATGAGTCTGAACCCATCTCACCCTTGGCTGCTGCCGCTCTCGCGTCTCGCCCCCTCCCCAGCCGCCTTTGTTAGCTCCTCTACTCTGATCAGGCGGAGAGGCAGCCTTGTCCCTCTGACAGCAGTGGTGGGACATGTGGGTGGTGAGACATGCGGGTGGCAGGTAGGCGATCCACAGCACTGCGAACGGCAGCCTCACTGCAGGGCAAAGAAGCCCCAGCCACCTGACAGCTGAGATGGCCTTGATAACTAACCTGTTGCCTGCTTCTAGGTACAGATGGCAGAAGGCACATGGAAACCATCACCTCCTCAAAACAAGACTAAAGGAAACAAGACATCCTCCAACCTAAAGGCCAGAGAGGCATTATGGGAGGGTGCAAGCGGGACTGGTCAAGCTCTGGAGAACTGGGACCTACCCCCAATCTCCAGTGTGCTGCATGCACTGTTCCTCTGGGCTTCCACTTCTGTAAACTGAGAGCTGGATTTCTGTGGCCACTCCTCAGATAGGATTCCATTTCACAGATGCGTTAGCCCTCCAGAGAGGGCCATGTGGTCTCCTTCCCCCTCCCTGCAAATCCTGGGAATGCTTCTCTTCAGCAGACTGAGGGAGGTCTGGAAAACACCTCTGACTCAGACCCCTCCTCAGATGCCTGGCTGGCTTCAGGGAGGCCGTGATAAGAGGCCCAGACCTAGTTCCCCTGGAGATGAAAACTGAGGAGTAGAGGAAAATTAAGGAATCAGAATCCGTGAGGGTGGCAGGAGAAGGCACCAGGGGAGGCCCAGGGAGGGGAGAAGCATGGATCAGCCAAGCCCTGAAATTAGAGATGATTCATATTTGAATACCGTAGGAGGGATGAACTCAGAGCGCCAAGATAAAAGGCTAACTCTGCTGAGGGTGTCCTCTACAGTCCAAACCCAGCGGGGGCAGGAGCAATGGCATGGCCTTTCATTTGAAATAGAAAAAAAGGCAATCAATAATCTTATTCTGAAGCTAAGGGAAATGGGGTATTTGCCTTTCTTTCTTCTTAAGTGTATTTTACCCTCTTTCAGTGACTTGGCCGGGACATTTTACTCTGGCCCTCCTTTCCCCAGTGACTTGATTTTCCCCCCAGATCTTCTGCTCAGTGCTGTTTTCCTTCCTGCCAGTCACTGCTCCAGCCTGTCTCCAAGACCCTTCTGACACCTTGTTCTGTTTCCTCCATCACTCTGTCCCCACCTGGTAATAAACGGCTGTCCAAGCTGCCAAACCTACTACATGCCCAGGATACCCCCAGCAAGGGTTCTTCCAGCATTTCTCAGGCTTGGCCATCCAGGGTATTTGTCCCCTAACAGCACAGAACGGCCACCGTAGGGTGGCATATTGGGAACAAGGGTCTCTTTATTAGTATGTGTTTGAGATATATACTAAACACATTCACCTTGGGGAATTGGTACATTTAGATATCCCGTCTTAATCTCTTTTTACTTCCTCTTCCCCACTCCTCCTTCTCTCCTGCCTTTCCAAACCCCAGGAGTATGGAAAGAAAGTTCAGCAAAAGGGAGAGGAGGACAGAAGGAGCCCAGCTAGATCTGTGCTGGGTGAAGCTCAATGTCTCTGGACTCTGGGCAAAATATCTATTGGGGGGAGGGGACTACATCTGTTAAAAAGGATCTGCTTTTTACCATGGGACCACTCTAAAGGTGAGACTGAGTCAGGCCCTCAACTCCAACCAACCAAGCCTTCCCTGGTCCTGGCCCACCTCCTTCCCATTCTCCTCTCCCCTGCACCTCCGGAAAGCCACCAAGCACACTCCTGGGTCTCTCGCCTTCTCTCGGGAAGGAACTGGGGAGACACTCCCTTACTCCTTGTACCCCCAAAGCCAGTGCTCTTAACACATCAGGCCCTCTGAGCCAGGCTCTGCCCAGGACTCAGCTCCACAAACTCAGGGTAAGACCGAGGAGAACCGTTGTATGGAGAGGAAAATGCACATTTCCAGAACAACCTCACAGAGCCAGTGAGCCAAACACCTGCATCTCCATCCTGCTCAATTGTAGTCGGGCTTCTCCCCAGCCTCCATCACACACACACACACACACACACACACACACACACACACACACAGCTTTAAAACACACTAACACGCAATCAAGGGTGGCATGAAAGCAGCCACCACTAACGGAATCTATATAAAGTTCTTCATCTCTGTAGGAAACGACTCTTACCTGCTAGCCAGAAGAGAGCACGCCACCCCAACACGACGCTATCCATTTTCCCCAACTTCCCATGCAGGCCAGGCGGGCGTAAAGTGGGCAGCGGCTGCAGGCTGCGGGTGGCGGGCGGCGGGCTCTGCACCGCGCAGTCTGCCCAGCGCGCCTGCCGCGGGCTCCGGGCTCCGTTCCGCGCGGCGGCGCCTTCCTCCCGCCCGCCTCCCCGCCCGCGCTCCGCCCGCCGCCCGCAGCCCGCCGCCTGCGCTCCTCCCGCCACCCGGCTGCCAAAGTTTCCCGGTCACGTGCCGCCCCTCGCGGTCGGGAGGTCAGCAGCCGGTCCCCAAGTCCACTGTAGAGGGGGAGGCGGCCCGGTGTAAGAACGTAGGCTGGACACAGAGTAAGCGGGTGGCAACCGCACTCCTGGAACCGGGAGAGAGGGACAGAGCGACAGGGGTAGGAGACCTGCGCACACCTGGCTTGATTCCTTATGGAACTTAGACTGGCAAGTCCTGGAGGCGGGGGTGTTTGCTTTGCTGTTCCCCACCCACCCCTCCGTCTGGTTCCCTTTGCTACAGTGCAAGGAACCCAAGAGGCTCGGCAGAATTGAAAGAGGGTAGGCGGGAATCCTGCCTCATAACTTTCCTTGTTAAGACACTATTGGGTAGAATGAGGGCATACAGACTCTTAACAGAAAATTCGTAAAAGTAGAGTGAAGTACCCATTTATAAGGACCTAGACAGGCCTAACATTTAGAGCTTGCAGGGGAAGTTGGCACAAAATATTTCCAATTTTAAAATTTGGATTGGTCTGATGACTGTGGGACAGGTTGATAGGGAACTGAAAAGTGTATTTGGCCTTAATAAACGTTCAGCAAGTCCACCCGGTGCTAAGAATCAAGGACACAGGGATGAGTGCGACAGACTTTCTACCCTTAAGCAGCCCTCTCTTGGGTCTGGGACTGAAAGGAAGACCAGTCCACTAGAGGCATAATCATCACTGTACAGTGCAGCAAACATGGTCATAGAAACCTAGGAAAACTGCCTGACGAACATAAGAAGGAGCAAGTTAATCTTGAAGGATGCTGAGGATGATAACCACTGACAATTAGCATTCTCTGCAGGGCAAGAGTTGAACATTCTGGTGTAAAGGCGTCAGGTAGGGACACTGTGGGCAAATGAAGGCAAGACAAAGCAAAAAGTTTCAAAATAGCCTTCAAACACTATAGCCCTAGGCTCGAGGATGTTCCTGAAGCCAGAAGACCCAATATGCAGGGAAAATACCTGAGAATGGGGAAAGTGTGGAGAGACCCTGGGTTGTGGTCTCTCAAGAGTGCCTGATAGCTGAATTCTCTTCGTAGTTTTAAGCTTTTTGAGCTGCAGAAGACAAAACTTCTAGGGCCACTTCCTTGCCATCTCAGCTGCAGTACAGAGCTGGGGGCCCAGGTAAGACCACCGTGCACTCACAGGGTTTTGAATCTGGCCCAGGCCTTGCAAGAAGCAGAAACAGCAGCGAATCTATTTTGCTATGAGACAGGGGCAGCATCTACCACCCAGAATGGTTATGGTAGAAGTCAAAGCCACCACACTGCTCTGAGGTGTGGTTTTGGCTACAATCTCAGTGTAGCCTCTTTGGGTTCTAGTGCACCTTCTGTCCCAGGATTTCCATTTTCTTGGCAATTACTTGAACTATCCAATATGTTTTCATAAACTATCTCTTTTCTTATTTGGACTAGGATGATTTCTGATGCATGCCATTAAGAATCCTGAATAATGTTCTATGTGAGAGAAATTTGTGAATTAGATCCTTTCATGAACAAAAAGGAAAAAAAGGAACAGAAAGGTGCCTAACATTTTAAAATCTATTAATTTATTTCATTTTTAACTACACATAGTTCTAGATTTTCCATGAACTTTCTCATTGCATCCTAATGAAGAAACTTAGGACCAGAGAGTATAATTAATTTCTCTGCAGTTAGATAGCTAGTAAATGGCAGACCTAATATTTGAACTCAGATCTTCTGACCCCAAAATACAATATATGTCTTTGTACCATGAAAGGGACATTTACCCCAAAAGCTTGATTGATGATATATTTATAGTTTTACCATTAAATGCTATATGAGATGTGATTGAAAAGTACAATGAATGTTTACAGTTTTAAAAAGACTTCTACTCAGTCCTCCTCAAAATACTCCTGCTCGCTTCAAACACACTTATCCCATCATTGTTGCCACTTTCTGAAGTAGGCTTGGAAGTCCTCTTCTGTGTCTAGTTGGGCATTGTGACTGCCTCCATGTCTTGCAAAAGACTGAATAATGTTTGTTATCTAAACACATCACAGTGGCATTTCATGAAAAACCTGACATAGAGGGAAGTTTATATGAGTAAGAAACTGGAGACGACTGAGTAAAGAGAGTTAGGATGTGCCCAGGAAGGGGACCATGGACACTCACAGAAGTGAGCTTTGTGTGTGCACTGAGGGTGTGTGATGTGTGCACTTCAACAGGAATCAAGGGACTTGCAAAAGAGTGGTTAATCACAGAATGCAGATTTCTAGCATACCATCACAGGAGCTTATGTTGTGTGTATTGCCCTGCATGTCTACCTCATATTAACTAGAGAGGTAGAGTTGGTCTATCTTGAGTCTTCCCTAAAAATGGGGCCCCAGGCTATATCCTAAATCACAACTGCCTTTCCCAACTGCATGTTGTTTCCAAAGTGGCTCATATAAATGTTAACCATACACCTAGTGATTAAAAAACAGGGAATCTAGGGGGCCTGCCCCTTAGCTCAGTTCTTTAAGTGGCTGCCTCAACAAAGCAGTCAGGCTCAGGTTGCTGTGGTTCGATCCCCACAACTCAAGCCAGCCAATCATGCCCTGAAGGCATTTGGAGCAAAAGAACAAAAAAAACAAAACCCTTCTGCCTTGGGCCCGGGAGATGGCTCAGTGGAATAAGTGCTTGCCTGGCAAGTGCAAGGGCCTGAGTTCAATCCCTGGTTCCGCAGGAAAAAACAAACAAACAGGGAATCTAATGGATGGAGGTGGTAGATGTGGGTAATGGTATCATTCCGCAGTAATGTTGCTGAGTAGCAGCATTATCACACCAAGAATCCCAGTGTTCTTCCAAGTGTAGTTTTGAACTTTCAGCAGCAGAATCACATTCTAGCATCTGTTTAAAAAACAGATTTCCAGCTGGGCACAATGTCACTGCCTGTAATACCAACAGTCTGGGAGGCTGGGTCAGAAGGATCACAAATTAAAGCCCTGTGCCCCACCCCCGCCCCACCCAAGGGGAGGAATTTAATAATTTATCAATGCCCAGTCTCAATCTAAAAATTTTAAAAAGGCATGAGCACATAGGTCAGTTCAAGGGCCTTGGGGTCAATCCCCAGAGTGGGGGAGAGTTGATATCAGAAATGTCAGGGTTGTAGAAATTTGTATTTTAATTGCCTTCCTCAAGTGCTTTCAGTGGACATTAATGTTTAAGAAGTGATCCATACAATGGGCATGGTGGTGCATGCTATAACACCAGTACTTGAGAGGCTGAGGCAGGAGGATTACAGAGTTTTAGGTCAGCCTGGTCTAAGTACTTGAGTCCAAGGCCAGCCTGAAAAACATAGTGAGATCCTGTCTCAAAAAAAAAAGCAATCCATCCCTATCCTTTTTTTTTTTTTTCCTCCTAGGAAGCTGTTGAATTGGCTTTTGTTCCTGAGACAATGGTCTGGCTTATCTCCTGTTGTCCATTCATCTTAGCCAAATAAGCGGGGACCCGACATAGAGGTTGATTCCTCACAACTGATGTAGGGTCTTGGTCCCCAACTCATCACCATTTCTTCTGCAAGCAGAGGCCAGTGTGTTGGAGTCAGGTCTGGCATGGGATCACAGTGCAATTCTTAAGAAGTCTCAGCGGGAATTGTGTTTGGTGGGAAGGGGTGAGGACTAACAGCCTGCTTTGTCAAAGCTGCTCACATTAGAACAAAATTAGGACACAGAGACAAGGGATGTGAACCACCGCAAGGAGACATGCTGGTAGCTGGTAGCAACCACATAGTTATAAATATAATGCAGCTGAGTCCTCTTTAAAGCATGAGTTCATTGCAGACACACAGGCATGCATGCACATGAATACTGCTTAACGTGGGTCTTTTTAAAGCACACAGATAAAATCGTATTTCTCATTCTGATTTTGCACTTCAGGAGAAATGTATGAGGTGTGACTTTAAAACAGATGCCATGTTTCTTATCTAAGGCTGGTTCATCTTTCCTTCCCCATGTTACCTGTTATGTTATCTTCCCAATCCCCTATACCTTCAAAACCACTCGAGGACTTCTAGGTTTGAAAAAAATATCTAAATAAAACCAAGGAACTGAAACTTGGAGACTTGATTCCAAATTTCAAACATTTTCAGCTGTTTCATATTAAGGAATAAATTGTTGCACTGAAGAAAAGAAAACTTTTAGGGCTGTGGCAGAGCCCTTGCCTAACATGTACATGGCCCTAGATTTGACAAAAAAAAAAAAAAAAAAAAAAAAAAAAAAAAAAAAAAAAAAAAGCAATCCATCCCTATCCTTTTTTT